AATCGATGTCTTTGTGTGGACCACAACTTGACAGAGAGAGAGTGCCTCAAGCACTCCACTGTTCCCATTCACCGTCATGTGGACCACCTCCACTTCCCGTTCATAACTGCCTGACATCCCTGTGTAACGTGGAAGTGTAATATTAAGAAAGTATTTGGCTGAATGTTTAGCTGTTACTAATTTGATCTAATAACTAGAGACTACAGGGTGAACAGATGTCCTGATTTTATAGGGACAGTCTCAATTTTTGGGTCTTTTTCTTATATAGGCTCCTAATACCTCCCACCCCCGTCCCGATTTTTCACACGTGCTGTCTGGTCAGCCTAAGAGACTAGGAAAGGCCAGCACCATGTGACCAACCAACTCTCCATACAATACCAATGGTCCATGGACCAAAGATTAAGAATCAAATAATGTGGTGGGCAATGTGGTTTATTTTAGACTTGGAAGTGCCTCTGACATGGAAGTATGTTATGGAAAAAAGCCAGTGGAGGGGAAAGAACTGTCATGTAAAGTGCAGTCATCAGCGAAGAAAGATTAGTTTATGGCAAGATAAAGGGAGTGATTAAAATGGCATGTTTTTCTCTGGGAAGCCAGGAGGGGAGTTTCACAGGACTTTTGGATTGTCACAACAAACACTGAATGCACCTATGGGGTGGAGAACTGGAGAAAAGGGTATAGAGCCTTGAAGTTTCAAAAAACACTACAAGATGTGGAGATGACCAAAGGGTTTGGAGGGTGAGGTGGTTATGGAGCCTAGAAGCAGAAGGAAAGAGTTATGATGGGAACACAAGATTGAAGGTAGGATGACGTATCTCTGTCTCTTAAAAATATAAATATATATATATATATATATATATATATATCAATCACCAATACTTAGGAATTATAGAGTTTTTATGTGGTTAAAGTGCTGTGCAAATCTTATGTAGTGAATATGAAAGTGTTAAAGGGAAACCAAGATCAGAAGGGAGAGAGAGAAACAAGAGTGGTGACCAGAATAAAAAGGAAAAGAGAAAGAGAAAGTCATTGAGGAGTGTTGATATAATCTATCCATTGTTTCCAAAGGGTTAACTTCAAAATGCGCAGGCCGATTGCTTAAATAATTCTATTCTATTTTTGAAAAGAACCATATTGCAGTAGCATGTGAAAAGCCCATGTATTCTCTGGCAACTAGATCTAAATTATGTTGCAAGTGTCCCTGGTTTCTGGGGTTCTCTAGTGTGGCAAACTCAAGCTTCTGTGGCACCTTTTGGTAAGTATAGAAATGGAGGCTTCTGACTAACTAATACAGTGTGTAGTGTATTGTTGTTTTAGTTTATACTGCCCCTAAATTTTCAACGTGCTGCAGATATTTGTATGGCAAAAACCTAATTGTGTAGCTGATGTTGGCAGAGAGGGAAATTAGAGGTTTCCACAGTTGAGGAGGGGACAGTTGGAGCTTTCAGAATGTGGGACAGCGAAGGGGACACTGAGTTTTGGCACTCTGGAAGCATTTTAGCTTTCGTGACGTATGGATGCATCTCTTCTTTCCCTCCCTCTTTGAGTCACCGTATGTCTATGCTATAAATGCTGCAGCGCTGTCAACGCTGGGGCTTAGGTTGGCTTAACTACATCTCTCAGGGGATGTGACACCGTGTGACGTAGCTAGGGTGACCTAACTTTTAGATGTCAACCAAACCTCAGAGGTGACTTTAGGTTCTGAAGCAGAAGTTGAATTCTTACCAGCAACATTTTGCAGCCCCTGCCCCATTATTTACCATTGCATCCAACACAAATGAGTTAGCTGGATGTTTCTTTTACAATGATCAGCAGTGAAATGCTGATACTTAATTGTGAACAATTAAACTGACCTCCTTAGGGTTCAGAGTTGACATCCCACTTAGATGAAGGGGCAGTTCTACGGCTATTGTTTCAAGCTGTTTGCAGACTCAGGAAGACAGTACTGCATTGTTTACGCTCAATCACATTTGGAAGGTTATCAGCGTGACATAAGGGCTGGAAACTTATTCTTTTTAAAGTGAACATTTAGATACCGGTTCACATCTGCAGCAAGGAGTGAATTCTATGGCAGATGCTGAAACCTCTGAATCACGGAATACAGGAGGTCTTGACATATAGTTCTGAGCATAATTGTTGTGGCTTCCCATGAATGTCTGCTACTGTCCTTGGTTATAATGGGAGTAATTAAGTATATTTCTTTAATGAAATCTATTAACTTCTTTGGCTTAAAAAATCCCAGCTCTTCAAGTCCCAGTACAGACCATCTTTTCTTATGAAGTTAATCTCTGTCTTCACTCTGTACATTAGATGCAGGCAGGAAGCTCTGGTGTTTTGCCAGCTTTCATCCCTGTGGTGAACTTGTAAAGTGCAATCATTGTAAAGTGCAATTGATTAATGTGTAGCCTATTCAGTAAAACCCCAAAGAACAGCCCCTTGATAGAAACAGTGAGTGAGTAGTGTGAGTAATTACCAGAACAGCGGTATCGAGAAAGATGAAGAGGCACGCATGAAGTGCTAATCAGGTTAGCCTTGAGTTAAGGAATAAGGAAAAACCCTAGTCAGATATACAGTAGTTGGATTTATTGTATTTCAGAGCAAGTTAATGTATTTACACCAGAATCATTTGCTGCGACTAATGCTCATTTATTTCAATGGCACTTGGTGGTATTAGAAAAGCTGATCAGCTGCAAGCCTCCTGCTGCTCTATTCATCTTATTAGGGTGCATAGAACTCTCATTCTATTTAAGCTAATGGCAACTTTACTGGATATTCCCTCCCTCTTTATAGGCACTACATCTCATGCCTGGAATTGGGAATCTTTGTTACCCTCGTCAAAAGCAAATAGAAGTCTGCTGGTTTGACCAACAATGATCAGATTCACACTGGGGTTATTCAATTATGTTTATTTGTCTTACCATCCAAATTCAACCCTTTTTGCCTTTTCTCTGTTCTAATGGCCAGGACTGGATTACATGGGTTAGAGATGGGGAAGGCATTTAGTCCATCTTCCTGCGAATGCAAGGTGGTTCTGTGCAGTGCACTAGTCAAGTTCTAAATGATTTGAGCATTGGGACTTCCATCGTCATTTGTGGGAGGTTATTTCACAGTTTAATAGATCACTTGGTCAGTCCGTGTTCATTTCAGCATGCTTTGTCTTAGACATTTGGGGACCAAACATCTTAAACAATCCGATAACACCCGTACAGTATGTACTAGCTTAAGAGTTGTGAGGTTTATCGCAGGTGAAAATGAAGCTTGCACACAAATTAGTTGGGCTTAATGTTCTGTACTGTGAAAGAGAGATTGGTTGGCTTTGCTAATTTGTAATGCCGAAACTAAAGGTTGGGACAGCTGGGGTATATTGGTATAGCCCCACTGGAGGTCAATAAAACTATGCAGATTTACACCAGCTGAGGTTCTGGTCGGATGTATTTATTATTAGCAGTATGACTGTAGCAGACTAAATGCTTCATGGTTTTGCATAAAGAACACAGTTGTAAAAGGTGCTGTACTACTGAATCGTCTTTGGCTTACAGATGAAAACTGGACATCTTATTTGTTGTGTATCTTCACATTGATAAACCTTCTGTTGTGATTTTGTCAGTCAGAAAGAAGCTATTTAACAGCTCCACAACATAAACCCTACTGTGATGTGTTTTCCACCTCCCAAATACGCTAACAAATGTAGCGGCACATCACAAATAAACTTTTGGTTGTACTTGGGTACTGTGCACTGTTGTGCATCAGCTCTGAGGTACCCTGCTGTGCATATGACAGCTCATTAGTTATTTTTCTATTTATCTTTAGAAGGCCCATTTCCAGAGTCCTTGGATACAACCTTTTATTTTGCACTTTCTGCAACTGCTGTCTAATTCTTGAAGTCCTGTTACTGGAAGACCAGCTGGCTATTTGCCGTGTGTGTGTGTAGATTTTACATTGTGCTTGTCTCTCACAACACGTGTCATCGTTGCAAAAATATAATACATGCCTCGTTGACCGTCTCTGTTTTTAGAAGAGGTTTAATTACATCATAACTTACTGTGTACAAATGGGACTGTTAAATTGTTTGCACTGGTACCTAGGAGCTTTTTGGATACAGCCACCACTTCTGAGGACCCCAGAGCATATTGGTGATGGTAGTATTATACTCATGACATTCATAAACAGGACTACATTTTCCTTAAGGGCCTGATGCAAAGCCCGCTGTAGTCAATGGAGTGAGTCCAACTGAAAGGCTATGGATCAAGCACCAAATAGGTATTTAAAATCATATGCTGTACTGTGTAGTTGTCTCTTAGTAATGTCAAATGCAAAGGGTTTATGCAGCTTGCAAACAAGGCCCTTGTACTACATAAGAAATTTACACAGGAGTGGGGATCTGGGATATATCCATTTAACAACAGAAATTCTAAATAATTAATTTAGTCAATATAATTCAGACCTGCCTCTTGCTGAGAATGGGAGGCTGTTGCCCCACAACACTGGTGTATAAAGTATGTTTTGTGGTGGAATTGCACCATATCAGGAGCCGTGATTTTTTTTTCCAAACTTAGCTAGGGTAGTGAAAGAACTACAGAAATCATAGCTAATCCCACTTCCAGCAGCTGCTGACCTATTTCTAATCTGGAGAACAATCTCCCTAAAACTGGCGAAGAACAGAAAGGGTTCTGCAGCAGGTAGATACTAGGCAGTATGTGGTATTTTTGACAACACACATCATGTTGCAGTCAGACCAATACACATTAAAATAATAGATCAGGACAAAACCATTGTGTGTATATAGCTATAAGATTTGTCATTCATCCGTAATTTACAGTGTTTAACTGTCAACTCACTGTTCTTTCAATCAATGACAACAAAATACAAATCCTTTGTTTCTGTAAGTTTGTAAATATACAAGTTTATATATATTTTTTGTGAAAAGGAGTAGTTGGCGGGTCCAACACCAATATTTGTCAGGTGATTGTTGCTTTTGTTTAATTTTTGCATGTTGAAATGGTGAGGTTTTCTTGATGAGCAATGTTTTGTGATTGTTTCCTACTGGTATTTCTGCGCATGTTTAAAAAAAAAAATCACAATAAAAAAGCCACAAAAGAATAAAGTCCTTCCTTTTTCATGCTTCATTTCCTGATGTTAAAATTTCAGCTCAGCATTTCTCTCCACAGAAGAGTTACCTTGTATTAAATGGTGTCTTGTTAGGGTATATACCCTACCCAGCCCTCTACACATCTGAGCAGTGCCTTGCAGGTCCCACTGCCTCCCCACTTTTCACTGTGCTGTGGAGCTACATGTCCCTATATGCCGCCACCACCACAGGTGTAGACAAGGTCTTACAGGTTGGTTTTTTAATTGACTTGAGCCTTGTCTAGACAGGAAAGTTGCACAGTTGGAACCTGAGGTGTGAATTTAAGCTGATTTAGTTAAAAGGGTGCAAACCTGTTGTGGACGCACTTACTTTGGTTTAACGGTGGCTTTTTTGGATTTAGTTTAAGTTGATCTTGATTATTAAAACAAAATGATGCTCTCGTAAACCAGTGAGTCCAGATGGGTTCATGGTGGTTTAAATATATAATTTTAAAAATTGTTTAAATTAAACTGGTGCAATTTTGAACTGATTCAAGAGAATCCACACACACAAGTTGCACTAGCTGAACTAAATCAGTTCTAAATTAAGCCAGCACAATTTTATTGTGTAGACAAGCCTTGAGTGTCCACACAGAAGTCTGCACTAGTTTAAGTAAATCAGTTTTAATGCACTTTTAATTTAACCAGTGCAACTTCTGTGTGAAGACAACTCCATAAAAGCCGTGGAGTTACATCAATTCATACCAGCTGAGGATTTGACCCAGGTTACACACTCTTAAGTATGGAGCTGCTAATGGTGGGTCTTTTATAAATAAAATTAGCTTCACTAACCTGTTGTCTGCTCGACGGTCAAAAGCTGTGTACTGAACTGTCCTCTGTAAGTGTTATGTGAGCTAGTGATAGGTGAATTGCAGGTGGCAAGCTCATAGCAGAGTACAGGTATCCAGGAAAGAGGGGGCATTCTGCATCATAGGACTAATTGTAAATTACTACAAGGGATTGGAATCCACTCCAGGACTTGGTTGGCTCAAGCGGATCAGCTATAAAACCTCCTGGGGAAGGCACTACCATGCCTCACTTGGATCTGGACCCATTTTTAGTATAAGAGGCCTGACTGTCCTTTTCTTTCTTCAGCAAAGCAGTTCAATTGCTTCTTAACCCATCTGCTCTTCCCTGGATGACCGTGGCGGATGCTGGTTCTTGCTGGCTTGCCACGTCTCATGCTTGCAAATACTTGGGTTCATCGGGGCTGAGTTTCATGATCTTATCCACGCAGAGCAGGATGAGAGTCAGAAACCAGAGGCTCCAGCCAACAGCAGCTGCAATCCAGCCGTACTCGTCTACCCCGAGCTGGCAGCAGTTGGCTACATCCGGGCAGAATTGCACATCTGATGGCAGAGAAAGCAAAACGAGCCATCCAGGTCATTTTACACAGAACAGACTTCTCTTTGCCAGAGGGAAGGTGGGGGAATGACTTTTGCATGTACTTGATCCTGGCCTCTACATTCTGCGCTCTCCAACTCCTCATGCCCCAGTTTTACACTCTCTGGCCAACTGCCTTCATTTAGCTGAATGCATAGGGTGGTGGGGGACAGTATTAACCCTCCCATTCAAGAGCTGCTGCTCCCTCAAGGGGGCATCCTTTGAAAACACCTAGTTCAGCATCTGTCCACTGATTGATTCCAGGGATGGACTAAGGTAAAAGTAGCTGTTCCAAGAAAAAAAGTCAGGGGGGAGTGAAGGCAAATCTCATTTATGTGTGAGTGAGTGGGGGGTCATTCTGAAGCAGGAAAAAGTCCGGTGGAGGTGCATGGCTCACAGAAATATTTGGCACCTGGGAAAGAGGATGAGATTGGAAGCACTGGAGCAGCTAGCAGCTGGAAGGAGGCTCTTGGATTAGTTAAACTCAGTGCATTAGGCAGTTTGGGGAGGGATTGGTAACTGGGGATTGTGGGGAGGGGACAATGGGCTCTTTAAGAAGGGTTTTTTTCACACCCTACAGACATGGCTGGTCTGGCTCGGAGGGAAGGGGCTCAAACCACTGGGTGCCTGAGAAAACAAAGGTCTGGTTTGTGTGGAAAGGGATGTGGAACCAAACGCTGTGCAAACTGAATTAGTCCAGGCCCGTGAAAGTTGTGAACCTGGGCTGACTGGTCCCAGGAAGCACTAGGCCTCAAAAGCCATCCATATCACATGAATTTAGGATTCTAATAAAATGTTTCACAGAACTTTACCCATAACCTGAGCTTTCGGTTAAGTGCATCATAGTACATAAATCCTACCCCATAGCTGCCTTTCGATGCTTTTTTTGTGTAATCTCACCACTAGGCTTAGGAGCTGTAGTAATGTATCAAAGAAGTCTTACCAGGGCATGGCCACTGGCTCCCATTGCCCCCGTGGTCTGTCAAGGAGACACTGGAGCTTATTTCGGCCTCTGGAAGGAAAAAGCACAGGAGAAAAAGTTCGGTAGACAGAAAAACAAAGACAGGAAATGGAGAAATGTCTTGGCCCGGCTGGAGTCTGCTGACCACAGGCAATCTGATGATGATCCTCTTCTGCAAGAAGCACTGGGGAAAAGAGCTTTTTCCTGTGGCACAGGTGAAATGTCAGCACATGGGGTTTTCTGCCAGGGCAGGTGCTGTCTGACAGTGCCCGTTGTTCAGCTGATCTACAACTCACTAGTGTGGGAGGAGATTGCCCCTTGTCTAGCTGTTGTACGTTGCCAGTGCTTCTACTGTTAAAGCCCACAGTTCCCAAATGTGTGTTCTAGGATGCTGTCTCCTTTGGGTTCCCTTCCCCTCAGACCACCATTGTCAGCACTAACTTAGAAAGAAGCGTCTCTTGTCACAAAAGACCTAAAAAATGCTTAATTTTTTTATCACATCTCCATTGTGCCCAGGCACTCTACAAACAGGAAAAGTCAGTCCTTGCCCCCAAAAGTTTATAGCCTAAATAGACAAGACAGCCAAATAGTGGGAGGAAAGGAGATACTATCTCGTTTGTACAACTGTGGGAATTGATGCACAAGGAGAATAAAGCTGGGATTTCTAAAGGAGCCTAGGAGTTGTCTTCCTTCCTTAGGCCTCTTTGAAAATCCCCACCTGAATGAATTGTCCAAGGTCACACAGGAAGGCTGACAGAGCTAAGAACTGAACAAGGTCTCCTAAGTCCCAGTCTAGTGTCTTAACCACAAAACCATCCTTCCTCTTTTGGTTTGGTTTTGTTTTTCAGGAATTTTGTTCCATGTTTTTAGAAATCTAGAGCCACAAAACTTGAGGTTACAGGAAATACTAAAGAAATCTTCCCGCTCAGAATAACGTTCTTGTGTGCCACCCTAGACTTTGGGTCAGTTGGCCTCAGTGAGTTGCGAATCCTGTCCTTTCCTCCGCACAGCTATATCGAGAGCAGCTTAGAGAAGGGCAGGAGCAGTCTGGACTTCCAGTTCCTTTTCCCACTTCTGCTACAACTTGCTGCATGACCTTGGACAGCTCACTTCATCCATTTGTGTTTAGTTTTTCCACTCGTAAAACAAGGTTAATAACTACCTCAGAGGAATGTTGTGAAGCTTGTAAAATAATGTGCGATCTTTGGAAGAAAGGCACCACGGAAGTACAAAGCAGCGTTGTGGTTATAATCTCTACTTTTACAGTCTATCTCAGGGGTGGCCAGCCTGAGAAGGAGCCAGAATTTACCAATGTACATTGCCAAAGAGACACAGAAATACGTCAGCAGCCCCCCATCAGCTCCCACCCTCTGCTCCCAGTGCCTTCCACCCACCGGCAGCCCTGCCAATCAGTGCCTCCCCCTCCTTCCCTGCACCTCCTGATCAGCTGTTTTGTGGCATGCAGGGGGCGCTGGGGGGAGGAGTGAGGGCATGGCAGGCTCAGGGGAGGGGGTGGGAAGGGGTGGAGTGGGGCCAGGGCCTGTGGCAGAGCCAGGGGCTGAACAGTGAGCAGCCCCTGGCACATTGGAAAGTTGGAGCCTGTAGCTCCAGCCCCGGAGTTCGTGCCTGTACAAGGAGCCGTTAAAATATTAACTTCTGAAGAGCCGCATGTGGCTCTGGAGCCACAGGTTGGCCACCCCTGGTCTAGCTGAAAAAGAGTTACTGTGAAAGCAAACTAAGGGTACAGCTACACTGCAATAAAAAGCCCATGGCACTGAGTTTCAGAGCCTGGGTCAGCTAACTCAGGCTCATGAGGCTTGGGGTGCGGGGCTAGAAATAGCAGTCTGAATGTTCAGGCTCAGGCTGGGGCCTGGTCTCTGACCCTCCCTGCTCGTGGGCTCCAGCCCAAGCCTGAATGTGTATCCTGCAGCCAGACTCAGCTGAGCCAGTCAACCGCAGCAGTGCTGTGGGGCTTTCAGGATACTGTAGATGTACCCTAAGTAGCCCATCTTTAAAAATCTGCTAAAAGACCTAGAGAAATTCTGACACCTAAATGGACGCAATATCCTGAGAGGAAAATACCTGCCCTGTTTTAAGCAGCCACTCCTCTCAAGGGAGCAGTGAAAATCAGTTGTCTGGAATAATTAGCAGTTAAAGACTGAACCAAATTATACTGAAAAATGCTGGATACTTTAAAGTGATCGCTTAACCCAGCAGGTTGAGTATGGAAACCACATGTCTCTTCTGTAGCTGCCTCCAGTACTTAACATCCTACAGAGCAAACTACAGCTGAATCAGCAGACTCGGTCTGTGGCACTGTTAAAGTACATGCCTGGCAAAGGCGCATGGGAGTTTTGAAAAACTGCTGCATTTAATAACATCAGATCTCTTCAGAATGATACTGTGAGTGCTCCCCTCAAGGAATCCTTTTGCAGTAACTATCACTAATTTTAACCAGCACCAGTTCTTTACACTTCTTAGCTAAGGGACAGAGGCTTGTTTCTTGCATAAATCAAGAACAAAATCTTTGTTTAATCCGTTAATCACCTGACTGCTGAGGTGCAAGGCACTCCTATACCTAGGTGACGGCTGCAGTATAAGAACCTAAATAGAACAGAATTACCTGCTAAGTAAGAACTCCGAAGAATGATGGAGAGGAAGACGAGGGTGATGGTAGTACAGGGCACGATGGTAAAGAGCTTCATGCTGGAACCCTGGCCGAGCAGCTGTGCTAATCAATATGCAGTCAATGGCAGCTTTGAAGGTGATTTTGCAAGTCCTCGATAAAATTCAAGCCTAACGTTCAGGGGGAAGGGTGGAGCAAAGGAAATTCCTGTTGCCAGTACACCTTGAACTTTCCTATCACGTACTGTACAGTGAAAGAGAAGGGCTTTAACCAAAACAAAAGTCTGTGTGTTGGCAGCCTTCAGGGTAAGTTGATTACAAACAGTGCAACTGGTAAAGGTTCCCTGAAGGTCAGGCACCAGTTCCTGACAGGATCACTGTAGTAAGAGATAGGAAAGACCTATTGGAGTCAGGTTTCATCCGATGAAGTGAGCTGTAGCTCACGGAAGCTTAGGCTCAAATAAATTTGTTAGTCTCTAAGGTGCCACAAGTCCTCCTTTTCTATTGGAGTCCTTTCTTCTTGCAAAGGCCCCTGATCTGCTTACGTACATCTTTTGATATAAAAATTGTATTAAAGCTAATGTTAAAACTATCTAATACACAAATTAAGGAAAGAAAATACACATAGTATATAATCTGCAATACCCCAAATTATGGTTAATAAATTTAAGAATACAGTTAAAATAGTAGCATCCAAATACATCACTCATAAAAAGTTATATTAAGAGTAGCTTGTGGAAAGAAAATATAGCAATGGGTGTAGATTGTTCCTCAGTAACTGAGAATTTAGGATAGTAAATACAATCCATCAGAGAAGTTTTTCAGTTACTTTCCTGACTTCACTTCTCAATGGCACGCCAGCTCCTGGTTTTGCTGATGTCCGGTGATGTGTCCTAAATAAATGTCCCTTGACCACTTAATGGCATCTGACATCATGAGTTGCCACATCAGCCGAGCATAGCACTGACCGTTCCCGCATTCGCACAACGCTTACTTGTTACAGGGATCCCATGCGCCCAGTGCTCTGACGATCAGCACATGTGTTTGAACCTCATAACCCCTAGCACTCAAGACATCGACCAGAGAGGTGTATTTCTCCACCTTTCGAGCTCAGGTCTTGCAGAAGGCCGGGGTCCTGTTTTCACAGGCAACTGTGATGTCCACCATGACCATCTTCTTCAGAACGAGGAGTAATGGTCTCAAGTTGCAGTGGGGGAGGTTTAGATTGGATATTAGGAAAAACTTTTTCACTAAGAGGGTGGTGAAACACTGGAATGCGTTACCTAGGGAGGTGGTAGAATCTCCTTCCTTAGAGGTTTTTAAGGTCAGGCTTGACAAAGCCCTGGCTGGGATGATTTAACTGGGAATTGGTCCTGCTTCGAGCAGGGGGGTTGGACTAGATGACCTTCTGGGGTCCCTTCCAACCCTTATATTCTATGATTCTATGATTCTTCCATTCCTCGTTAGCGATGATGACGTCCTGTTGCAGTTGACTGTCCGTTCCAGGGATATCAGAGTCCCTGGGTGGCGGGATGGCTTTGACTAGGCAATCTTGGATGGCATTGTGGTGCAGCTGCAGGCTCTGGAATGGGGCTTGCAGCTACATAAGTCATGATCTTTGATCTTAGCTAGATGGCTTAAGAACTGAAAAAGAAGATGATCAGTGGGAGGAACCTGTCTTACATTTTGGATCTAATATCCAAAGATTTCTGTATGCTGGTCATCTTCCCTATACTGTGTAGCAGTTGCGCCTTAACTCTCTTCTGGAGGTGGTACTTCTAGGCATAAGAGAGTAATTCAGACGTTAGGTTCACACAGTCTTTGGCAGTTTCAGTGCAGAGGGCAGTCAGTGTGTCAGTTGAGATTAGTACCTGTCCACTAAGAAAAGAGCTGAGACCAGTCCTTTTGTGTAGGCCATTCACAGCTGTCAGATGATGGTGACTGGCTGTCACTAGTGATCTGGATTCTACCATGAATTAGAACTGGTTACCTAAGGTACAGCTATGAGAGAATCTGTACGCTATTACAGCTCCCATGAGCCATTATCTCTGCCCATTCCTGTCTTCTACCCACCATGATGTCCTTACGAAAGAAACTTCAGAAGTTAAATCAGACAGAAAACCACCTGGATTCCAGCAGCACACAGATCATTGACATTTTTTTGCCATAATTACAAATAACTTCAGGTGCACAAGTAAAATAAAAGCTATGCTGGATCTGTGCAGTCAGCATAGAGATCTGTTGTGCCTTGTTCACTAAACTTGTGCTGCATGGAAACAGCTGTTGGGAGAGCAAATTTAATAGGCTAGGCAATTTCATGCTGGTGAAATCAAAAGGCATCAAGCTGAATAAGTCTTTGATTTATTCTTATAGACAGGTGCAGCACAGAGAATGGCAGGGAAAGCCTTGTCCCCAGGCCGGGAAAGCTTTGTCCTCTGCCTTGTCCCCAGCTACCTGGCCTCCACTCTCATTCCAGCTGGTTGAAGAATTGTCAGTATCAAATAAACATATTTCTGTCAAAAAATACCCATTTCATCAACAGTGACATGTTTCACTGACATCTGGCAGAGCGGGGAGTCGAAGCTGGGTCTCCCACATCCCAGGTTCATGCTCCAGCCACCAAGCTGTTCACTATTCTGGGGGAGCGTGTTCTCATGTCTTTTGTGAAAATTTTCACAAGCCTTCCATGTCATTCTGAGGCCAAACAAAAACAAATGTCAAAACCTGTCTTTTGCGAAATGAAATTGTTTTCCAACCAGCCCTAACCCTGACCTGGCGAGCTGAATGGGTCGTTCTGTTTAGTTCTTTGCCACTCAGCTCAGACTAATAACAAGACATCCGGTTCATGACAACTGTGATGCACCCACCAGTTCACTAAGAATGGACCGAGAAGACTGCCACCAGTTCTGTACTGGCAGTGAACGGTTCCGTATCGCTTTACTGATTCCCTTCAGAACACCCAGTCCTTGAAATAAAATATTTCCATGATGAAATACAACTTATCCCACTTGAGATTTCCATGAGAAAAGACTTGTCAAGCTGCAAATGAATAAAAAGACAAGACAGCTGAAATGGGAAAATTGACAGTTAGCCACCAGGCCCTGCCATTCCAGATCTGCTTTGTTTTATGTTTTTTAGCTTGTCCACAGCAGCAGATGAAGTTACAACTGCCTCTAGCCAGTCTGCAATGGCTCGTTCTTGTCGGAGCCTTCTGTACCCGCTGTAAATACTTTCTGTTGACAGTGGAGCAATTATGGATGGAGTTTGCTTGTGTGACAACAGAACTGCGTGTATGATCAAACCATCAGACAGTGATCCTGAAAGAAATAAGCCTTTCCATAACAGACAATGCTTTAAAAAGTACCTGAGTGCCCAGATACAGAATGCCTTTGGAACTCACTGTATAAGATCATCTTCGCTTCTGGCTAATTACAGTGTCCAGAGCTTTCATAAATACATGTTTTTTATTTTCATTTTCACCTGAGAATGAGCTTACCTGAAAAACAGAAATTGTTTACTGGGAAGAAAGCCAAGTGCTCTCCCTTCCACTCCACCCTTCCCTCCTGGAATGGCTCTTCTTTGGGTTTTGCTGGGAGTTGATACGGAAATTCATTTCACAGACATGATCAAAATCAAAACCCACTTCACGCTAAAAAATGTTTGAGAAAGAGAGAAACTTTGTTGTTTAGCAAATAATTTGTGATGATGCATCTTTTCAATTGTAGCCATTATTGAAACTGCCTTTGTCAGATTGTATGTAAATACTTCCACCTCCAAGAGAGACTGGTACTGCTTTCAGAGCGTTTGCACAGCTAGAGAGCATTTGACATGCACAATGATCTGTTTCTTTACCTTTTAAAAAAAACAACTGGTAGCTGAGCCAAAATCCACTGAAGAGAATGGAAAGACTCCCACTGACTGCAATGGCTTTTGGCTTGGGCTTGAAATGGGGGGATTATTGATGAACTCAAGTAAACTCTGTTAAAGGTTCTCCGCACACAACTCTGGCTTTATTTCAGTTCTCATCTGTAACACTGTAATGTTTCAGTGCTGCAGCTCCCTTCAGCAGAAGCTGCTAATCATACTAAATTGTGTGGGGAGACCCATCAAACCTTTTCTTAGCTGTTGATCTATCGCAGTATTTGAACTCCAGTCTCCAGAGGAGAAAGGGTAGTGCATGAATCACAGACATTAAAAATGGAAAAGATATAGGTCATTTTGGTCCTTCCCGTGCCAGGGATTGTTCTTTTATGGATTTTGCTGAATGCCTTGCCCAGTTTATTTTCAGATGACTCAAGTAAGGGGGCTTTCCCCGCTCCCCTTGAGAGACTATTGCATAGTCTAATAGATCTGTTAGGCAATTTTTCCTAATAATCTCAAATGTGGGATTAGCTACCATTTGAGTGTATTTTTTGGTTTATAGTGACTGCTTCTACGGCTTCTGTACTTAATTAAATGTTCTTTGCCCACTGCCTGCAACTGCGTGACCCTCCGATTACTACCGATGATTATTTTTTACATTCTAAACAAAAGCTGATCTTTGCATCAGTGCAACTCTGCTGAAAAGAGTAGCAAAGAGTGCCATGTTCTGCACTCTAGAGCAAAAAATACCTCACTCAATACAACACACACTGCACTAGAGGAAAGAACGTTAGGTACGTGGCACAACACGGTCAAGTAAAAAGAGAGCAAATCCCCTTTTTCAAATGAAGCATTTGGTAGTCAGTTACGTCTTTGGTCCCTGCTCTGTCTTCAGCATGCCGGCCTACTGTTGTTTTTACTACTGCTGTGGAGGAGGGCAGCTTTGGTGTAAAGAAAAAGTACCTGTTCACATTTGATGTAGCCATACAGAATATCTTTGTGTGATAGAGCTGTGTACAAATGGAATCTGAGCAAACACTTCGGTCTGTGTGTAACTTGACTCAGGTCAGTGGGATGACACACACGAGTAAAATTATACATGTGCTTGAGTGTTGATGTGATTGGGTCCTAGCTTAGTTTTGTTTATTGCAATTCCCGGATTCTAACATTCAGAGCGTTACGAACAAAGATCCTGCTCATATGGCAAAACAGGACTGCAGAGCTAAATGCTCAATAAACGTCTTCAGGTCCCTGATAGCCCTGATC